TGAGGATCATATGAGATAATAATTGTAAAGCATTTGGTCCATAGTAGGAACTATATAATGTCAGCCGTTATAATTATTCAATGACTACCAGTCACACCCTAAGATTACACCATCTTCTTTGAGCGTCCCTGCAGCCCGCACAGATGCAAGGAAGCCCAGTTTCCAGGGAGTCCCTTGGCCTTCCTCTCCTCCCCCTTTGCTGCTCCCTAGAAAAGTGGCTGTGCATGAGGACGGGGGGCCCAGGAAGCCTGCCTCGACCCTTCCTCTGAATGGGCCATTCTTTGAGCACCATCATCTACTGCCCTTGGGTTCCTCTTGCACTGGAGGCTTTCCCAGAGTTCTCATGGGCAAGCTACTGGGCAGTAGCGTGGGCACAGTCCTGGCTCGGCCCCACTGAGTTGGGTAATCTGGGGCGTGTGCCAACCAACCTGAGTCTTAGTTTCCTATGAAAAGGATGCTTTGGGCCAGCTAATCTTCTGGTTCAAAAGCCCACGTTTCTATTAGCATTGCTTCATGGACCCATTAAACAATTGCAGTCTCCCCCACCAGACAATTGGGACTCAAGGTCATCCTTCTGCGTTCCCTCACCCCTAGTCTAACAAGGTTTCAGTTAATGTCCTTTGCTTGAAAGAATAGGGGACTACACATTTTAGAAAAAGAAATTGAAGAAGCCATCAATGAACTCCCTAAGAAAAAATCTCCAGGGCCAGATGGATCTACAAGTGAATTCTACCAAACATTTAAAGAACAATTAATTCCGATACTATATAAACTATTTGGAAAAATAGGTGAAGAAGGAGTCCTATCAAATCCCTTTTGTGACATAAATATGGTGTTGATACCTACACCAGAAAGAGCCAAAACAGAGGGAAAAAATTATAGACCAATTTTCCTAATGAATATTGATGCAAAATTTTTAAATAAAATATTAGCAGAGACTACAGCAATTTATCACAAGGATAATACACTATTACCATTTGGGATTTATGCCAGGAATGCTGGTTCAATGTCAGGAAAACTATCAGCATAATTGACCATATCAATAAGTAATCATAGGATTATCTCCATAGATGAAGAGAAAGCTTTTGACAAAATACAGCACCCATTCCTATTTTTAAAAAAAAACACTAGATAGCATAGAAATAAATGGAGTTTTCCTTAAAATGATAAGTAGTATCTACCTAAAACCATCAGCAAGCATTATCTATAATGGAGGCAAGCTAGAAGCCTTTCCAATAAGATCAAGGAAGAAACAAGGATGCCCATTAGCACCACTATTATTCAATACAGTACTAGAAACGCTAACTATAGCAATAAGAGAAGAAAAAAAATTAAGGAATTAGAATAGGCAATGAGGGAACAAAACTACCACTCTTTAGAGATGATATGATGGTATACTTAGAGAATCCTGGAGAATCAACTAAAAAACTACTTGAAATAATTAATAACTTTAGCAAAGTGGCAAGATATAAAATAAATCCACCTAAATCATTGGCATTTCTATATATTACCAACAAAGCCCAGCAGCAAAAGGTAGGAAGAGAAATTCCGTTTAAAATAACCGCAGACAATCTAAAATATTTGGGAGTCAACCCGCCAAGACAATCCCAGGAACTGTATGAACACAATTACAAAACACTTTTCACACAAAGTCAGATCTAAACAATTGGAAAAATATCAGTTGCTCATGGGTAGGCAGAGCTAATATAATAAAAATGATAATTCTACCTAAATTAATTTACTTATTCGGTGACATGCCAATCAAACTACCAAGAATTATTTTATAGAGCTAGAAAAAATGAAAAAATTCATCTGGAAAAACAAACGGTAAAGAATATCAAGGGAATTAATGAAAAAAAAATACAAAGGAAGGTAGCTTAGCCATACCAGGTCTAGAACTATATTGTAAAATGTCAACCATGAGAACTATTTGTTACTGGCTAAGGACTCAAGTGGTGGATCAGTGGAATAGGTTAGCTATACAAGACATGGTAGTAAATGATTATAGTAATCTACAGTTTGACAACCCAAAGACTCTAGCTTCTGGGATAAGAACCCACCCTTTGAAAAAAACTGCTGGGAAAACTGGAAAAGAGTATGGCAGAAATGAGGCAGAGACCAGCATCTCACACCATAAATATATATACCAAGATAAGGTCAAAAGGGATGCATGATTTAGACATAAAGGGTGATGCCATAAGCAAATTAGGAGAGCAAGGAATACTTTACCTATCAAAGCTATGGAGAGGGAAGAATTTGTGACCAAGCAGGAGACAGAGAACATAACGAAATGCAAAATGAATAATTCTGATTACATTAAATTAAAAAGTTTTTGCACAAACAAAGCCAATGCAACCAAGATTAGAAGGAAAGCAGAAAGCTGGGAAACAATTTTTACAGCCAGTGCTTCTAATAAAGGCCTCATTTCTCAAATATATAGAGAACTGAGTCAAATTTCTCAGAATATAAGTCATTCCCCAATTGATACATGGTCAAAGGATATGAACAGGCAATTTTCAGATGAAGAAACTAAAGCTATAGCCACATGAAAAAAATGTTCTAACTCACTATTGATTAGAGAAATGAAAATTAAAACAATTCTGAGGTGCCACCTCATACCTATCAGATTGGCTAATATGACAGAAAAGGAAAATGATAAATGTTGAAGAAGATGAGGGAAAATTGGCATACTAATAATGCGTTATTGGTAGAGTTGTGAACTGATTCAACCATTCTGGAGAGCAATTTGGAACTATGCCCTAAAGGCTATAAAATTGTGCATACTCTTTGACTCAGCAATACCACTTCTAGGGCTGTAAAAGGACCCACGTGTACAAAAATATTGATAGCAGCTCTTTTTGTGGTGGCCAAGAATTGGGAATTGAGGGGATGCCCATTTATTGGGGAACGGCTGACCAAGTTGTGGTATATGAATGCAATGGCATACCGTTATGCTATAAGAAACGATAAGTAGGTGGACTTCAGAAAAACCTGGAAAAATTTACACGAACTGATGCTGAGTGAAGTGAGCAGAAAGAGAACATTGCACACAGTAACAGCCACACTGCGCGATGATCAACTATGATTGACTTAGCTCTTCTCAGCAATGCAAGGATCTAAGACAATTCCAAAAGACTCAGGACGGCAAATGCTATCCGCACCCAGAGAAAGAACTATGGAGTCTGAAGGCAGATCAAAACATAGGATTTTCTCTTTCTTGTTTGTTTGTTTTTTGTTTTTCGTGGCTTTTCCCTTTTGTTCTGTTTCTTCTTTCACAACGTGACTAATGTGGAAATAGGTTTACATGATTGCACATGTAAAGCCCATGTCAGATTGCTTGCCATCTTGGTGGGGGGGGGAGGGAGGGAGAAAAAATTTGGAACTCATAATCTTATAAAAAATGAATGTTGAAAACTATCTTTACGTGTAATTGGAAAAAATAAAATGCTATTTACGAAAAAAAATGAATAGGTGGCTACATCTAGAGGTTCCCAGGGGACTTGTAGGGGGAGGAGGTGATATATGCAAAGGGGGGACTGAGAGGAGGAATGTAGTGGAGTGCGGAGGGTGGACCCAGAGCCCATCCCCACACTGTCTCACCGCAGGGCAGACCAGGGTCCTTATCTCCAGCAGCAGCTTCCGTCAGCTACCACAGCCCTCATCTCTGCCTCCTGGCCTCTCGGGGTTGCAGGGGCACTGGGCTGCAGACACCCCTCCCCCCCAGGCCTTGTCCTCCTTCTCCCCCAGGGGAGCTGGCCAGAGAGGCTGCTGCCCAGCAGAGCGAAGAGGGGGCCCAGCCCCCAGGTAGAGGAGCCGGAAGTGATAAATAACTTCTCTCTGCCCTGCTAAGTGTGGCAGTCTTCAAGCTAGCTCCCAGCATAGCTAACTAGCTGCTGTCCCGCCACTTCATCCCCAGCCAAAGCCCCCTACCATCTTCTCTCTAGAGTAGTCTTGTAGAAACCCAACAGACATATTTTCAGCTAGAAATAGGAGGTAAGGTTTGAAATGAGTTGGTTTCAGGGTGAAGGGAAGATTCCCTCAGGGTACTTGGGACATTTCCTATCTGTGTGACCCTGGGCAAGTCACTTAACTCCATTTGCCTCAGTTTCCTCATCTGTAAAATGAGCTGGAGAAGGAAATGGCAATCCACTCTGGTTATCTTTGCTAAGAAACGCCCCCCCCTCCAAAAGGGGTCACAAAGAGTTGGACATGACTGACACCACCACTTGGGAGAAGTGTGAATCAACAGGTCCTGCATGTAACCCACAGGACTGAGTTCATGGGATGTCCCTGGGGGCTATTGGAAGGCACGAGGCAGGGAGCATCATGGGACAGTTGAAAGTGCAGTGGGTTTGGGCGTCACAAAATCTCCTGGCTAGGATAGACTTTCTAGCTGTGTGACCCTGGGTTCCAACTTATCTTTCTGAGTTTCAGTTTCCTTAGTTATAAAATGTGAACATTAGAACCAGATTTTGAACTACAGGAGACATTTATAGGACTGCTAGTCTGATCACTTCATTCTACAGATAAGGAACCTGTGAAGCCCCGGAAAGTGAAGGGAACTACCCAAGATCTCATAGGGATTGGCAGAGGCAGGATTTGAACCTAGTTCTCGGCTTTCAAAGCCAGTGATATTTACCTACAAAACAAAGGGCTTCATAAATGTGAGAGTCCAGTGGAAATAGGAGTTATTATTATGTAGAAGAGAAATAAAATGAAAGGAAATGGGGGAGGGAGGAGAGAAATCTCTCCTCTAACCCCAGGCCATTTATTCATTCTTTTAAACTAGATAGCACACTGCAAAGGGTGAAAAGAGGTGCTGGAGAGCATGCAGTGAGATCCCCACCCAATACCACAGGGCCCCTTGGGCCCTGCCCACCCAGAGCTGCCTCCTTTGGCCTAACCTACAGTGAAGGACCCAGGAGAGGGTGGCAGTAGCTGGTGAAGTGAAGGGGAACCACAGGGCATGGACAGAGGAGTAAGAGGGTATGGGGAGAGAGAAGGATGAATATGCAGCCCCCAGATTCAGGTGAGGAAAAAACTTCTGAAAATGGGACTCAGCAAGGTAGGGGGCTCTGGAGGACTACTGGGGGTGGGGGCAGATTTTTAGAGCAGATGAGAGTCACTGTGACTCAAAGGCTCAGAATCAGACCTATAGATGCCTCCTCAGCAAGCCAAACCCATAGAAAGTCGATCGTGCTACGTGCAGAAGACATTTGGGCTTTTCCTTGGGGACCGTACACTCAGAATCACACACTGTCTGTGCAGGGGAGCTGAGAGGGACCTTTGGTCCAACCCCCTCATTTTGTCATTGAGTAAACTGAGGCCCAGAGAAGGAGAGGGACTTCCCCAAGGTCACACGGAGGCTTAGTGGTATGGAGGGGATGTGAACGTCAACCTTCCTTCTGACTCTTTGGGTTTCTTTTTTAAAGTTTTATTAACGTTCTATTTGAGTTTTTTACATCTCTTTTTCGCTGAGCTGGGTGGCCCAGTGGATAGAGTGCAGGGGCTAGAGTCAGGAAGACTCATCTTTCTGAGTTCAAATCCAGGCACAGACACTAGCTATGTGACCCTGGATGAGTCACTTCACCCTGTTTGCCTCGGTTTCTGCATCTGTAAAATGACAGTGTTGGACTAGATGACCCTTTCAGCTCTAACACAGATCTGTGCCCCTCCCAGGAGCACCTCCATAACACCTTTATACTTGGGCCTTTTCCCTGCATCTTTGACCTCCTTCGGGGACTTGCCTCCAGGCCAAAGGAGACACACAATTTTGTCACTTTTCTGGCACAATTCCAAATCGCTTTTCAGCATGGTTGGACAATTCAGAGCTCTACAGGATGCCCATGGTCCCACAGCCTGTCTGGCATTAGTCATTTTCCACTTTTATCATCTTCTGATGCCAATCTGATGGGTACAAGATGGAACCTCAGAGTTGTTTTGATTTGCCTTCTCATCATTCATTCCAGTTTTCTGTCCATTTCCAGGTAGCCTCTCTGGCCTCCAGGATTCCCTGCAGGAAGATGCTGATACTGCTGGTAAGACAGTAGGCTATGGCAGCCTCCCACAGATACCCCATGATTGAAGAGCAAGGGCTCATGGTCCAAAGCCTGGACTATTCCTTGGATGAACCTAGGGGGGATTTTTGGCCCTGGAAGGAAAGTGGATGAGGAAGGATGAGGATGGCTCCAAGTATGGCTTAGGGGATATGTCAAGAGGTGGCTTCACAAGGTCTAGACATTTTAGAGACCTCACAGGCCTGGATCCAGTTCATCCTCTTCATTTTACAGATGAGGAAACTGCAGTCTGGGAAATGGTGTCTTACCGAGGTCACATGGGTAGTTAGGGTCATCGGTGAAATTTAAACACTTGGCCCCTGAGTCCAGTCAGAGGATAGACAGCCATCCTCAGTCATGTTCTGCCTCAGAATTACTAGTTTGTGACCCTGGACAACTCCCTCAGGTGTAGAAGATGTACCAACTTCCATTGTTAGACATTTGGAGATTCTCACCAAAGAAATCATGTCAGCTTGCACCCTCCAAAAATATACCAACATTTCCATTATGTTTTAAGTTTTACAAAAAAGTTTATATACACTGATCTTCACAATAATACTGTAAGATAGGTACTGGGGGTATCACTGTCTCCATTCTACAGGCAAGGAAACTGAGGTACATCAACCAGACTGAACCTCTTGGCCTGCAGAGGCTGAAGCCGAACAGTGGGCAAGAACAGCTGTGCAGATGCTAAGACAGAAGTTTATTTTCTATTGTGAGGGAAATGGCTTGCAAGCCAGGAGGGGATCCAGACACATGTGCCGGGATCTACTTCAGAGTGGGCAAATCTCGATACTTTCGTCAATGGACACACAGTACAAATTTTTCTCTCAGAACTCAGTATTTTTTTGTAAGATTTATCCTTCTTTCGTTTTTTTTTTTAATTTCTGAATGTATCACTCAGCTGCCCAGAAAGCCATTCACAAAGAATAGAAAAGCAGGGAGGGGAGGGGGGAGAAACAATTTGGCAAAACCAGCCAACACACCAACCTTGGTAACTAAAATATATCGATGAAGGTGAAAGGGGAAGAGTGTAGAAGCTGGCTTGCAGCTTAACATAAAAAAAACTTGAGATCTTGGCAACTGATCTCAAACTTCCTGGCATATAGAAGGAGAAGAAATGGAAGCAGTGTCAGACAATATTCTTGGACTCAGAGATCACTGCAGATGGCGATTGCAGCCATGAAATTAAAAGATGTGGTGCTCGGAAGAAAAGCTATGGCAAAGGTGGACAGCAGACGGAAAGGCAGAGATATGACCTCACTGACAAAGGTCTGGAGAGTCAAAGCTATGGTTTTTCCAGTAGCAATGTATAGTTGTGCGAGTTGGACTGTAAGGAAAGCTGAGCACGGAACAATGGATGCTTTCAAACTTTGAGAATCCCTTGGACAGCAAAGAAATCAAACCAGTCAATACTTAAACAAATTAAGTCAGACTGTTCACTGGAAGGTCAAATACTAAGGCTGAAGCTTAAATACTTCGGTCAAGAATGAGAAGACAGGACTCCTTGGAAAAGACCCTGCTGTGGGGAAAGATTGAAGGCAAAAGGAAATGGGGATGGCAGAGGATGAGATGGATGGATAGTCTCATGCAAACAACGAACGTGAACTAGAATGCTGTGGTCCATGGGGCCACCATGGGGTCGGACAGATTGAACAATGACAACCGCCTATATACACATCAATGATTTTATTCTTTAATTTATTGGTGACTTTCTAGTGAGTTTATTATGATATACAATTAATTATAATTTTGGATATCATGACATTGGAAACAATATCATAATAGTTTGCCGTGTCTAGGGCTTTGTTTTTTCGTTTCTACATACTTGTAGGTGCGTCTCCTGGCATCGCAGACACCTGGCACATCAGCCCACCTTTCCCGTCTCTCAGTTCCACGACAGCAGGCACGGCATTTTGCACACGGTAGGTACGTAGTGTTTACGCACTTTTACAGAAGTTGTGTCCCGACCCATTACCCTCTCACGCTCTGCCGGGCCCTAGCCATTAGTTACCTAATGCTCTATCCAGGGGTGGGGAAACTGTGGCCTGAAGGCCACATGCGACCCTCTAGGTCCTCAAGTGCAGCCCTTTGACTGAATCCAAACTTCACAAAACAAACCCCCTTAATATAAGGATTTGTTCTGTAAAACTTGGACTCAGTCAAAAGGCCATACCCAAGGACCTAGAGGGCCACATGTGGCCTCAAGGCCACAGGTTCTCGACCCCTGCTCTATCGCAACCCTTCCTCACTGAAGACTCTTGCCCTGTATCTCATCCTATTGGTGTTTGGCGACTTCTAGAATGTTCAAGGTGACAGAGCTAATTTGGTCAACTAATCTGCTGATTCAGGCAGCCTCCCAACAGGAGCCTTTCTCACATCCTTACCAGTAAGTGGCTCTGATGGGCAGGAATCTCAGACCAGGCAGAAGATGAGGATATTTGGAGCTCAGTGAGGGAGATATTTTTGGTAGGGTAGGGAGGCCCTCACAAGTCCCAGATACAGCTTGTAGGTGCTGTCCTCATCCTCAGTGGTCAGGATCAGGGGCCAAGGACAGAAATATCTGCTTTCAGAATGTTGACAGTGTTATTATGAAATCATTTGTATATTATGAAGTCGAGCCTAGCCCAGAGTAAGTACTTAATAAAAGCTGGTTTTGCTGACTAGCTGATTTGCCTCGCCTGGCATTCAGTGATTTGCATGCCTGAGGGATCAGGGTAGAGGCAGCTGCAGTGATCCAGCATCCTGGTCCCAGAACTGTATTCCTGCCAAATTCCTTTCCCACCCCAGAAGTCAGCCTGGGATCTTCTGTCTTAGAGGTGGGAGCCTGAGCAAAGCAGGGTGGTGTGTAGAGTGAGGGAGAACAGAGTTTTTAAGATGTTGAGTCTTCAGGGCTTGGGAGAAGTTCTGAGGGGGAATAAGTCGGATTATTGACAGACGATAGGTAATTCAGCCTCTGGAGGTTGCCACCTGAAGGCTCCCCAGCAGGAAGAGAGAGGAAATGGAGAGAGCCAGGTTAGTGGTAAGGGTCTGGGGGCAGCAGGGCAGTGTCAACCAGGTTTGGAAATCTCCACTGCCCAGTGTGCCCATGGAACCGAGGGAGAAGAAAAAGGGACGGGTGGCAGAAAGTGTAGGCCTGAGATCTGGTGGAGGCTGATTCCTTGTTGCCGTTACTTACAAGGTTCCAAGAGCAGATTCTGTTCTCCGTTGTAATGGAAACCTCTGGGGATGGCTAGAAAGGTTGGGGATTCCAGCCCTGGCTCTCTGGACTAGCTCAGGGGGGAGACTTGGGATCGCAGACAGCTAGAGCAGGAAAGGACTTTCCTCTGCACCTTTCCAGACTGATCTCCCATCACTCCCTTGGCTCGTACTGGGTGTTCTAGCCAAGCCTAGCCTCTTCCTCCACACTGGCTGTCCGTGACCGTCATCCTCCCCTCTGTCTCTTAGAATCAGTCAATTTCTCCAAGGTTTAATGCATGTGTTACCTCCTCCTTGAAGCCTATCTTGATCCCCCACCACCACACACACATACACAGAGCTCTCTTCCTCCCCAAATTATCTTGCATTTACATGTTGGGTCATCCAGTAGACAGCTCCTTAAGGATCATTTTTGTCATTTTGTAAACTCTTTGTATCTCAGTGTCTTGCACAAAATAACATTTGTTGAATTTAGAGGGCTAGGCCATGACTGACATTCTACAGATAAGGAAACTGAGGCCCATAGAAGTTGAGACTTGCCCAAGGCCACACAGATGATAAGCTGTTGTTCAGTTGTGTCCGACTCTTCATGACCCCATTTGGAGTTGTCTTGGCAAAGATACTGGAGAGGCTTGGCATTTCCTTCTCTGGCTCTTTTCATGGAGGAGGAAACTGAGGCAAACTGGGTTAAGTGACTTACCTAAGGTCACACAGCTAATCAGTGTCTAAGGCTAGATTCCAACTCAGGTCTTCCTGACTGGTGCTCTATCCACTTCACCACCTAGCTGTCCCTATAATAATGAGTAATATGTGGCTGTTATCAAATAATCAACCCCTAAGTATACACAGTGTTTACTATGTGCAGGGCCCTGGGGATATACACAGATATAAAATAAACTACCCTTTGACTTCAAGGAGTTCACATTCTGCAGACATAGAGATGAATGCTATGGTAATATATAGTTAATATATACTCTCTCTCTCTCTCTCTCTCTCTCTCTCTCTCTCTCTATATATATATATATATATATATATATATATATACATGTTAATATATCGTTACAAAGGAACTCCCAGGTGATTTCAGGGAGGAGATTTCCCATTTGATGAGGGTCTGGGGCTGGCCAAGAAAGGCCTCATTAGAGCCGAGTCCAAGGGGCAGGAGGGAGGAGATGGAACGTCCTTCCTGAGAAGCAGCAGGAAAGGCAATTGGACCCAAGCGAAGAGCTTGTAAGGGGGAGGGATGTGCTTAATCAAGCCTAGAAAAGAGACTGGAGCTAGTTTGCAGCCGGCTATCCAACCAGGATTTGAACCCAGGTCTGCTGACCCCACATCTCGGGGTCCCACTCTGTGGTCAATTGGCGAGGAATTGGGGGGTCAGCCCCCTTTCCTCCTAGCGCTTTCCTTCCAGGATGCCGTCTAAGTTATCCCACAGGACCTATCTTATTGGGACACAGTTGGCGTGGTGTTCCCCTCCTAAGATTGCGGATGGACTTGTGGAGGGCAGCAACACAGCCCTGGCGCTTCATAAATACTCACTGATTTAATCTAACCCCCCTCGGGGGTCTAGGTTAACTGACTTGCCCAAGGTCATGCTGTGACTGGCAAGGCCGGGCTTGGAGCCCAGAACTCTGGCTCTGCACGTCCTGCAGCCGGCACAGCACACACTAGGCGCTACATAAATGCGCGCTGGCCAGCCCTGGCCTTCCCCCCGACCCCTGATGGGGGCCGCCCGGGATCTGGGCCCACCAGCCCGCCGGGAGCCAAAGGGTTACCGGCCCTGGAGACAGAAACCAGGCTCCCTGCGAAAAACCAAAACACAAAAATAATTCGATGAGTAAGAATAAAATTCCCTCTTCTGAGGTTCCTGGCCCGCCCCTTCCTGCGGCCCCCACTTCCCTTTTCCCTACGAGCCCGAGCCTGGCTCCAGGCTGAGTCAGAGCCCGCCCGGCCCCGGCCCTGGCCCGGGCTTGGGGTAACAAGCAGGTTGGTTGGAGGCCGGAGCTCCCGCACTGCGCATGCCTGCGCGAGCGCCGGCCGAGCCCGGCGACCTTGGCCTGGTCAGAGGCCAGCCCGGCAGAGGCGTGAGCTGGAGGCGAGCCGTGACGCCACCGTGCGGCCGCGCGGGGACCTCCAGTCGGGGAAGGGCAGGCGCTCGAAGCGCACGCGCAGACCGCTGGGGCGGGGCTGGCGCTCGTCCCGCCTCTTTGCCGCCCGCCCCTTCCACCCCGACACAAACGCGGCGGGAGGGGGCGGGGGAGCACGCCCCTCCGCTTGAGGCTCCGCCCCCGAGGCCTTCCTTCTCTCCCTCCGGCCGTACGGAAGCCGGACGGAAGTGAGCCTCCCCCACCCGGGTTCCCCCACAGGCAGGGGACGGGCGGAAGCGTTCCCCGCCGTCAGCGCTCCCCTGCGGTGCGGGCGCCTGAGTGTGTCGGGTTCCGGGCTCGGGATGCGTTTGACGTGGCCGGGCTCCGGGGAGGTGGAGCCGTCTGGCAGGGGGCGGAGGGCGGGAGGAGCCGGGGCCCGGGCCGAGGCCGGGGCCGGGCGGGGGCGGGGGCAGAGACGCCGCGTCTGGGGCTGGATGGCAGGGGCCGCCCGGAGCCGCGCTGCTGCCACCGCCGCCGCCACCGCCGCACGGTGAGTGGCCGGGCCGGGGGCTGGGCAGGGGGCGCCCGCCGGCCCCGCGACCCCCGCCTGGATCCCCGCCCCGGCCCCCCTCCGACTGACCCTCCCCATAACAGGGAGCAGGACCCCCTAGGCTGCCCCCCTCTGATTGACCCCAAAGAGTGGGGAGCTGGACCCCTGCCCTGCACCCCTCTGACTGACCCCAAAGAATGGGGAGCTGATCCCCTGCCCTGCCCCCCTCTGATTGACCCCAAAGAGTGGGGAGCTGGACTCCTGCCCTAACCCCTTCAGCTAACCCCTTAAAGAGTGGGGATATGGACCCCTGCCCTGCCCCCTTCAACTGACCCCTTAAAGGGTAGGGAGCTGGACTCCTGCCCTGAACCCCTCTGACTGACTCCCCCAAAGAGTGGTGAGCTGGTCCCCTACCCTGCACCCCTCTGACTGACCCCCCCCAAAGAGTGGGGAGCTGGTTTCCTATCCTGTACCCCTCTGACTGACCTCCCAAAGAGTAAAGAGCAAGAGCTGGTCCCCTACCCTGCTCCCTTCGACTGACTCCCCCAAAGAGTGAGGAGCTGGACCCCTGCCCTGCCCCTTTCAACTGACCTCCCCCAAAAAGTGGGGAGCTGGACCCCTACCTTGCACCCCTCAGACTGACTCTCAAAGAGTGGGGAGCTGGACCCCTACCCTGCCCCCTTCAGATTGAACCTCAATAACAGGGAGCTGGACCTGTTCCCCTGCCCTGCTTCTCCAACTGACCCCAAAATATCAGGGAACAGGCCCCTGCAGGAGGGCATTGGCTCCCTGGTCCATCACCCTCCAGTATTTGTGGAAATTCGAGCTCATGTAGTCCAAACTCTTCATTTTCCAGAGGAGGAAACAGACCCAGACATGGAAAAATACTCTTGTGACCTTAGATAAGTCCCTTGACCACTCTGATGCTAGCTGATTACTCAGACTTGTACTTCCTATGGTCTGTCCCTCCTGACTCTGACATTCTGTGCTCTAAGGCCCCTTCTATCTTCAGACCTGGGATCCCAGCTTAGGACATAGGATGGCAGGCCTGTCAGGAGTCTTAGAGTTTAGAACCTTCATTACTGAGTTGGAAAGGATCTAGGACCTGATTTCTTTTATAGAAACCGAAGGGATCGGGTCTGTTTTAATGGAGGAATCAGTGCCATCACAGCTACGTCCCCCTCCCCTTCCCAATCTCCATGCTGGCAGGTTGACCCCCCACTGCCTGAGGACCCAGGCAAGCCTGGGATGGAATCCTGGCTCCTCCGCCAACCCCTATCCTTTCCTCCCATCTCCTTGTGGGTTCCCTGGGTCCTTGCTCTGAGATGAGGGGAGGAGGGGTAGGTCTGGGTTTATTTGGGTTATAGTATAATTTGTGACATGGGATGGGGAAGAGGGAGCAAAGAAAACCTTGATAGCAGGAAATCTTTCTAAAAATTAAAAAAAGTCCCAAAGTGGAACGGGCTGCCTTCAGTGGTCCTGGGTCGCCTCCTTCCCTCACTGGTGCTCTTCAGGCAGAGGCTGGACCCACCATTCGCCTGGAATGTTCTAGAAGGGATTGTTCAGGGACGGGACGGCTTGGACCGGAGGAGAGGTCTCATCCCACTGAGAGATGCTAACAGTCTGTGATTCCTGTGGGTGTAGAAGCCCAGCCTCCTCACGCTGTCTGCTTGGAGGCTTCCCTCCCGACCCGTCCTATGAGTAACATTTCCCTTTTCCTGAGTGTCCGCTTGGCCGATGATGCAGACGGAGCATCTGTCTAGCCCATTACCTCTACGTGGGCAGACGCGGGCAGAGTGGCATGGTGGTTAGTGTGAGTCCCCAGTCCTGGCTCTGAGACTCTAGGGTGGGCTCTTGCTTTTCACTTGGAAATTGGGTCCTGGGGACTTCTTTTTCCTTCTCTTCCTGAGCTGGCAGCATCTAAAGCCCTACTCACACCAGGGAGGTGGAGGGAAACTGAGGCACAGAGAAGGGAAATAACTAGCTTAGAGAGGTGGAGCTGGGATTCAGAATTCCCAACCCGGGCTTCCAGTCTCAGCTTGACATCTCTGCCGTTTGACTCATTGTCTGCTTCAGGCTGACCCAGAGGTGATTCAGTGGAAAGACAGCTGACTTTGCAGTCAGAGGACCTGGGCTTGGAAGCCTGGCTCTGCCGCTTACTGCCGACAGCTTCACTCCCCTGGACCTCAGTTTCCTGCTCTGTAAAAAGATAGGATTGGACTGGGTGGTCTTCGAGGTCCCTCCTGGCTCCTGTGCCACGTGAGGCTTCCCAGTCCTCCCCATCTCCATATGTCCTGATGGATGGAGCCCTGCTTTCCTCTCCTTCCCTTCCTGGTACAACCCCTTCCCCTAGGTTCTCCAGGAGCGGGGAGGAGGAGGAGGAGGAGGTGGAAGAGGAGGAGGAGGTGTGGTCATTGTCTTTTTCCTATCTGCTGGGCTCTCCGGGCCCTCAGGGAATGAATCTGTGCTCAGTAGAGTCCTGTAGGGCTGGGCCCTGCCCCCTGGCAGCAGGAGGCACCCTGTTGGGCGGGTGTGCCAAGCCCAGCCAGGGCCTCACCCTTTCATTAGGAAAGCTTGGCCTCAGGGCAGCAGAGCTGGCTGTCTGGTGCTCCAAGGAAGGAAAGGGTCCTACCTTCCAGGGAGCCCTTGTCCCAGGGCAGTGCCCATCAAAAGGGAAGACTGGCAGAGGAAGCAGGGCTTGAGTCCACCCTTAGCCTCCCAGATTGTATTGGAACACCTTGATGTCCTAGAGCAGGTGCCCTGCCTTGGGGCACACATAGAGAGCTCATCCCAGTCTCTTATCTCTTTCCAGCACGTGACTCGCCTGGATGCCCCTGTGCTGGCGTTGGCATGACTGGGCAAAGCCTCCTCTTCCTCACCGCCCTGGCGCTGGGGCTCGTTGGGGTGGCCCAGGGGGCCCAGCCGGCCCTGCTGGGCCGGGAGGCGGCCGCGGCAGCTTGTCGTCTGGATGACAACGAGAGCGAATCTTGGGGGGCCCTGCTGGGTGCCGAGCGGCTGGATGCCTGGATTTGCTCCCTCCTAGGCTCACTTATGGTGGGGCTCAGCGGGGTCTTCCCTCTGCTGGTCATTCCCCTGGAGACGGGCGCTGCCCTCCGCTCTGAAGGCAGGTTCCCCAGCCCTCTTCCCTCCAGGCCCAGGCTCCTGGGGCTTAGTGGCCTGTAGCCCTGGACTTCAGCCCTGCCTCTGAGGACAGCCAGGTGCCTCACTTCTGTGCTGGGAGGGATTAGGTGAAGTCTATAATGCTCCCATCTTAAGTGATCTCTGAGGCCTGCAGAGTTATGTACAAATGTAGCCAGCATTCATGTGGTAGTTATCCCAGTGGCTCCTCAGATGTTCCTGTTATCCCCATTTTACAGATGAGGAAATTAAGGCAGACAAAGATTAAGTGACTGGTCCAGGATCACCCAGCTAGTAAATGTCTGGAGTCAGATTATGAAGTTGCCTGGGAGTTGTCTGCTGCTTAGATGCCACAAAGCCCCACTGGGCCTGTCCACTCCCTTGGTATTGAGCAGTTTTAAGTGCTGTGGGGAAAATAAAAGAGAGGACCTGGGCCTTGCTCTAGAGAACTTGCTTACATCTGATTTAGAAGTCTGGGAAATTTAGCAGAATACAAGAAACAGACAAACATTAAGCACATATAGTATACAGGCTCTCTATTAGGTGCCGGTTAGGAGGCAAAAATGCGACTCCCACTCTTTGCAGGGGGCAGGAGGGGCTGTCACATGTGTGCTCCCACATATGGAAGTCCAGCACTTCCAGTGGGGGGGCAGCAAGATCCCCATGTGGGAGGTGGTGCCTGAGCAGTGCTTGGAAGGAGGCCAAAAGAGTCTGACCGGGACCCCCACATAGCAGGCCCTGTCTGGAAGGCACCCAGACAGAGGTGGCCAGGACAGGGAGGGCCTTGGAGCCCAAGCCACTGGAGGATCAGGGCAGGAATCGGAGATGTTTAACGTGGATAAAAGAACCCTTTGGAAGGGGATGAGAACGGTCTTAAGCTGTTACGGAAGAGAAAGCTCAGCCTCTCAGCTTTGTTCTGCTTGGGCCCAGTGGGCAGAACTAGCTGCAGTGGGGGGAGGTGTCCGTCAGATAGGAGGAAAAACTCAACACTTAGAGCCCCCCACCCCCACCCCCCGATGGAATGCTCTGGGCTGCAGCATTATGGCCATGTCAGCAGGCAGAGGCTTGGTGACCTCTGGACAATGTGGCAGAAGGCATTCTTTGCCCAGCTACTTTTTGGTCTCTGGGGCTGGCCCAACTCTGAGAGTTCATGATTTGGGGATTCGGAGGAAGGTTCCCAGCGGAGGTGAACATCAGAGCCAGGTTCAGGCTGCCCCAAAGAATTGGGGCTGTTGGCCCCCAGGCCAGAGCCTCCTCTTTATTCCCGAGGGGCTTGACTCAGGCCTTCTGTCTGCTTTGCAGCCGGATCCCACCGTCTGAAGCAGCTGCTGAGTTTTGCCCTGGGAGGGCTTCTGGGGAATGTGTTTCTGCATCTGCTTCCAGAGGCCTGGGCCTACACCTGTAGTGCCACCACCGGTAAGGCTCATTTGGGGGCAGCTCTGATGAGAAGGGATGAGAGGGTAGGCCCACTGGACTCTGCTGCTTGCCCAGCATCTTAGGCAGGAGGAGGGCTCCCAGACCGCTTAACCTTCCACTAGGAATGCCTGGGAATTTAGGAGCACACAGGGTAGAGAAGGTAAGGGTAGGTCGTTGGGGGTTCTGGGCATCTGGTATAGCACTTGTCCATGGAGCAGGTGTGCAGGCCTAGAACCCTGGCCTCTGGGCAGCCTCCATCCCACAGACGGATCCAGCCGTGGTCCCCTCCATGAGTCCCCTTCACGAACCTCCTCTCCTCTCTGGCTGGCTCTGACCTCCCCTGTTTTGCAGGTGGGGGAGGGCAGAGCCTTCAGCAGCAACAGCTCCTGGGGCTTTGGGTCATTGCTGGCTTCCTGACCTTCCTGGGGCTGGAGAAGATGTTCTTAGACAGCAGAGAGAAGGATCGCCCCAGCCAGGTGAGCCCTGTGCAGAGAGGGCGGAAGCCTGGGCCCCAGCTCAGCAGTACACATGCCTAAAGACCCCTAGGTCTCTGCCCCCCAATGCCCCCTAGATCTCTGCCCTCCTCGTACCTCCTAGGTATCCTGCTGCTGAAACCCTAGGAACCCTAAACAAAGGGGCACCCCCCTAGTTCTCACTCTGCCCTGCATCAGTGTTTCTGAGGAGGGCAGGAAGACCTACAATATACCCAGCTGGTGATGACGGGAAGCTGGGGTCAGAGGATGCCCCTGGCCTGATCTCCTGGAGTCTCACCCGCTCTAGGTGGGAGGAAGGGGCTTGGGGGCGTCCAGCTTTTCAGGGGCCAGCAGAGGACGGCTGGAGTAAAGGGCACCTTTTCTCCTTCTCTGTCTCTGTCTCTCTTAGTGGGGGTGGAGGGCGTCTAACGGCCACTTCTCCCTCACTCTCCTGGACTCAGGCCCCCATCAAAGACCCGGCTGCTGCCGTGCGCAATGGAGGCCGCTGCCTGGCCCTGCCGGCTGCAGTAGCAGGCCTGAGCGTTGAGGTCCAGAAAATCAAAGTGAGTGGCCCGATCGCGGCCCCCCCCCCTTGGCCCCAGGGTGCTCCCTCCACAGCCCCCCTCAGCGTGGCTCAGCTGCCTCTGCCTTTCTTTCCCACCCTCCAGATCAGTGGCTATCTCAATCTGCTGGCAAACACCATTGACAACTTCACACATGGGCTAGCTGTAGCTGCCAGCTTCCTAGTGAGTAAGAAGGTGAGTGCCCTGGGCCCGGGGGGGCTTCCCCTAGGCTGCCACCCTAGGACACGTCCTGGAAGGGGCAGGGGGATCAGTGGCGGGGCTTGGCTGCTCCGCTGCCCTGCTCCCAGCCTCACAGACTCCCTTCCCTGTGCAGATTGGGCTTCTGACTACCATGGCCATCCTCCTCCATGAGATCCCTCATGAGGTAAGTGCTGCTGGGGCTGGAGGGCACACCTGGCAGCAGGGTGCAGACAAGCTGAGCTCTGTCCCAGGGGGAAACGGCTGCCCCCAGAAGAGGGAGGCCTTCCACCGAAAGCCAGTGATGACGTAGCAGGGGGTCGTCGGGTGGAACGTGGGGTGGGCTGGTGGCTTCATGAACAGGCATTGACTCTGTGCCAGGCCCTGTGTGAGATACAAAGAAAAACACTGGCACCGGCTCTGGTTGGTCAGGCAGCAGACGTTTATTAAGCACCTACGATGTGATAGACACAAACGGGACAGAACAAAACAGTCCCTGCCCTCAAGGAGCTTCCATTCTAAAGGGGGTGACAACAAGGACAGGAAAAGCATGGACAGAATGAATAATCACAAGGAATGGGAATAATCAGGAGGTGAAGGAGGGAGGGCGTGAACAAAGATTTCAAGTAGGATGATGATGCTTGAGAGCGAAGGAAGGTGGGGAGTGGACAGTGCAAAGGCATGAGCCTGGACTCCCACTTTGGACTTCTGACTGTGTGATGTAAGGACTTTAGGTGATAGGTGGGGTAGAGGCGCTCCCATCTGGGTAGGAACGAGGAATAGGCATTGCTAGCGCTGGGGATGTGGGCGACGATGCAGAAGAAGAAGGGGCCGGAGCATACAAGGTGGCGGCTTTCTCAAAGTGTCGGTGAATAGCCTGACTCTCACCTCAGTGTGAGGGCTCTGACCCCGCCCTCTCCCAGCACTGCTCCTGAGGGTCAGTCACTAAACATTTAAGTGCCTACTAGGTGCCCACCACTGTGCTAAGCATGGGGGTCCAAAAAGAGGACCAAACACTGGTGCCACCGCTTGTGAGAGCAGCGAGGCGTGGGCTGGGGCGTAGGTGGGCGAGTCAGTGCAGCTCACTGGGATCAAGGGGCCCAGAGTAAGCCCCGCCGGGCCTTCTCCTCAGGTAGGCGACTTTGCAATCCTGCTCCGGGCTGGCTTTGACCGATGGAGCGCAGCCAAGCTGCAGCTCTGGACGGCGCTGGGGGGCATCCTGGGGGCCTGCTTTGCCATCTGTGCCCAGTCACCCAAGGGAGCAGGTAGGGAGCCAAGGCACGTGGGACCAGAGAGGGAACTCCTGGCCAAGAGCATGTGTTTGCCCCATCCAGGCCCAGGGTGGCTCATCTAATGAATCTGGCCCCGCCCCAAGCCCTGCCATTCCCAGAGGCCAGCAGCTGGTTGGGCAGACAGCACGAGTGGCCTTGGGAGTGATGTGGTGAGGTTCGCCCTCACCAGGGGCGTTTCTTTCACTCTTTGCAGGGGAGACCATTGCCTGGATCCTCCCCTTCACCTCAGGGGGCTTTCTCTACATCGCTCTGGTCAACGTTCTGCCGGACCTCTTGGAGGAAGAGAACCCTTGGTGAGTGATGCAGGCCTGCCCTCAGAGAGCCCATGTTCTCTTGTGTCTGGGGAGGGAGACATACAGGGACTCACTGGGGCTCAGCAACTCTCCATGCTGGGAAGGCCCTCGGTCCATGCCAGGGCTCAGGCCCGTAACTGCCTTCTCTCACACCCACCATCACAGAGAGGAGCCCCATGCCTCAGCTACCTGTGGCCCGCCACCTCTTCCAGCCCAGGCTGGTGCCCACAGCCATGGGGGGCCGAGTGTCCTGGCAGGTGGGGGCTGGTGCCCAAAGGGGCTGAGTGTCCTGGCGGGGGGGTCTGGTGCCCGCAGCCGTGGGGGGCCGAGTGTCCTGGCAGGTGGGGGCTGGTGCCCAAAGGGGCTGAGTGTCCTGGCGGGGGGGTCTGGTGCCCGCAGCCGTGGGGGCCGAGTGTCCTGGCAGGTGGGGGCAGGGCGGCCCCTGAGCAGAGGCCTCTCTCCCTGCAGGAATTCCTTACAGCAGGTGCTGTTACTGTTCACGGGCATTGTGATGATGGTGCTTTTCTCCCTCCTGGCTGAGTGACATCCCTGTGGATACCCTCAGCCCCTCCGGCAATAAGAGACTCCTTTTAGTCCTGTGACCTCGTGTGTGTGTGTGTGTGTGTGTGTGCACACGTGTGTGTGTGTGTGCACACGTGTGTGTGTGTGCGCACGCGCACTTGGAGACAGCATGCCTGGGAGGGGTGTGCGGGAGTCGCCTGGGGGTGCGAACTCTCCGAGCCTGGTGCCTCTGTCCCTCTGGACCCCACTCTGGCAGCCAGCTCTCATGTTGGTCTCTGGAAAATAAGCTTTGAGGAGCAGCGGGAGTGGCTGTGTGTGGGTGTGGGTGTGTGAGGGGCTTTGAGGAGGGGACACAGAGAGGACAGCCAGGACTTAGAGTTCCAGAGGTGAACTCAGGACTGGGGAAACTGGGAGGAGGGGCTCTGGACTCTGCCCGGATGCCCGGGCCCTAAGTGATGAGTGGGGCTGCCCTGGCTTCTTCCCCCCTTGTTCTCCTCATCTTCACTGCTGCCCTGTTCCCCAAGCCGAGGGAGAAGGGAGACCCACCCAATGACCCAATGCCCACGGGAAGGTACAAAGTCAGTGATGGTGTCAGTCCCCACTCGCCTGGCCCAGGCCATCCATCCCTGACCCCTCTGCTCCGCCTGGGAGCCGAGGAGCAGGAGAAGCCATGGTTTGACCGTGTGTGTGGGACGGACGGTCCTGGGCAGCTGGGGCCTTTCTGGGCTCCTGCCTTTACTGCTCAGCTGGAGGCCCTGCTCTACTCGGGGACTCTCCCCTCCTGCTACCAAAGGAAGTATTTACTCAGCACCAAGTGCTGGAGAGAAAGCCAGTCCCCACCCGGCTGCCCAGCTCCTCCCCCAGCGGGGGACCGGGACCTTCTAGTAGCTTCATTAGGAGGGCGGGGAGGATGCCGGGAAGATGTGCTCAGTACCCAGGAATGGGGGCCAGGAGCCTGGGCCAGAGGCCCTGCTTCAGGGTTAGGTCTGGAGCCTTGTCGCCCCCCAGAGGACAATCGAAGAAGTGGCTGCAGAGACATCTGTTTGGTTTTACAACAGAAATCTGTAAAATTACCTATTCCATAGATGAGATGCAAATAAATCTTATTTTATCCTGACACCAGTCTCCTCTGCACTGGGTACCCCGGCCCCCAGTGGGGGTGGGATGATGGGAGGAAAGGGGACCCCCCCCCTTCCCAGCTTATACCCTGTGTCCTCAAGCACCTTTGCCAAGGAGCTGTGTGGCCCTTGGCCTAGAACGCTGGGCTTGGAGTCAGTAAGAGCTGGAGGGTGAGTCCTTTAGCTGTTCACAGCCTCATCAGTGAAATGGGGACGATAGCTGCACCTCCTTCACAGTGGGGTGATGTGTAAGGCACTGCAGTGGTCTGGGGTAAAATCCAGACAAAAGAGAGATACAGCCCCTGCCCTGGAGGAGCCGGCAGTCCTGCTGGAAGGTGCTGGGCCTGATTTCTCCCGCCCTCAGCCTGCAGCCATCCCAAGTCCGTTGGCCCCGTGAGCACAGTTATTACCAGGGGAATTCCTCCAGTGCCAGGCTTCCTAACCTGGGGCCCATGGTCATCAGTTCAACATAATGGGCTTCCTTTGTAATCCCATCTTTTATGCATTTAAAAATATCTTGTAGATGGGAGAAAAAGCCTCATGGAGGTTAAGTGATTTGTCTGTGGCATGGATAGGGAACCTGCCGCCTCCAGGCCACATGTGCCCCTCCAGGTCCTCAAGTGCAGCCCTTTGACAGGACCTAAACTTCACAGAACAAATCCCCTTGATAAAAGAATCTGTTGTCAAAGGGCTGCACTTGAGACCTAGAGGGCCACATGTAGCCTCAAAGCTGCAGGTTTCTCACCCCTGGGCCATGGTGAAGCATCAGGTAAGTAGGACAAAGAGGGAGATTTAAGCCTAGGACTCCAAGCCCACCCCCCCATGATTTCTGCGACTCGTGTGTTAGAAAGGGATCCCCTAGAGAGGAAACAGGGCGTCCCAGGAACCAGAGGGCATCCATCTGGGCTCGGCTGAAGCAACTGAGGAACCTAGAGAAGGAATGGGGGATGGGGGACCCGATAACAGTCACTCAACTGAGCATGCCCTTTGGCCTTGCAACATCACTGCCAGGTCAATACTCCAAAGAGACCAAAGAAGGAGGGGCAAGACCCACGTGTGCAAGACAATTTACAGCCAATCTTATTCAGCAAAGGATCGGAAGCTAAGGGGCTGGCCATCGGTGGGGGAATGGCTGAACAAGGTAGGGTAAGTGAATGCCAGGCAATGCTATCGGGCTGTAAGACACGGTGAAGGGGATGGGAGCCTAAAAACGTAGGAAGACCCATATGCACCGGTGCAGCAATGTGAGCAGAACTGGGAGCATTTAGAGGCAATCACAACAACCCTGCGAAAAGAAATCACTTTGAAAAGAGCCGAAGGTCCAGCAGGACCATCCCAGAGGAACGCTGAAGCAGCAGCTGCCCGCCTCCTGACAGAGACGGAGCAGACTGAAAGGGCCGCTTTCCACGTGGCCAATGCAGGAACTTCATTTGTCTGCCTGCACACCTGTTAGAGAGCTTTGTTTTTCTTTCTTTTTTCCCATGGGAGGAGGGAGAGGATTTTCATTAATTGAAAAATATAAATTTTAAAAGACTTCCACGAACTAATTGGAAGTGAAGTAAGCAGGGCCAAGACAACAACAGATAATAACCGCGACGCTGGAAATGGAAAGAGCGGTGACAAAACTATAAACAATGAACGTTGTAAAATCATGAAGAAACAAGTTTCGTTCCCAAAGACAGAGATCTGAGACGTTTCCCCTGACTTCTTTACAGAGGGAGGAAGGGTCCACAGGTGTGGAACGTTGCGTATGTTGACAGATCTCCACAATTTAACTGATCAGTTTTGCTGACATTTTCCTTTTTTTTTTTTCCATTAAAAATAATTGTTATATGGGATCAGAGGAGATGGGAGGAGAAGGAATTTAGGTATTGTAAAAACAAAAGCTATCAATAAAATTGGTATGTTGTCATATCAATTATCATGTTTTATGTTTTCTCATAAAAGCAGGCTGTACTTAATACAGATTCTCGATTTCAGGTACAATCTTTTTTTTTCTGTTTTACTTCGTACAGGATGATGTTCGTTTTATTTGGTATTTAAATTCCGAATTAATTTTTTTTTTTGGCTAGTCAATGGGGTTAAGTGACTTGCCCAGGGTCACACAGCTAGTAAGTATCAAATATCTGAGGCTGCATTTGAACTCAGTCTTCTTGACTCCAGGGCCGGTGCTCTCTACCACCTAGCTGCCCCCAGAATTAATTGTTTTTAATAATTTCAAGGGTGTTACATGGAAATGGACTTAATTATAAATTAAGACACATCTCTTGGGAAAGGAGTTGAGAGAGAAGACAGGAGAGAGAGGGAGAGAGATTTTGTGTGTGTGTGTGTGTGTGTCTTTATCTGGGATGAAGAGAGGACATCCCTTTCTGAGCATGGTTTGGACTAGCTGACCGACCTCCGGGCACCCTTTCAAATCTGAGATTCTGTAATCTGTACTTCTTCTGCTCCTTCCTTCCCATCGCCAAATGCCTAACACTGAGCTGGGCTCATGAGACACTCAATAAATGACTGTGAAATATTTGCAAAGCATTTGGTAAACCTTACAGCACTACAGAAATGCTTTCTTTATCATCACATCAGCTACAAAGTCTCCCTGGCAGCTCTCCAAGCTGCTTTTCAGAAACCAGGGGCTTTGCCTCTTCCCTAACTCCATTCAAGGACCCTCCTCCTCCAGCTCCTACCTCTCTCCTGGTGCCCAGAGATTTATCTCCCAACTCCCGTCCCCCAAGGCAGAACAAGACAATAATAATCACCTCAGCGATAACCAAAAACTTAGGCATCGCTTTACAGCAGTGGGCTCACTTAAGCCTCAAGACAGTTCAGGGAAGTAGGTGCTATAGGCATTATCCCCATTTTACAGGAGGGGAAACTGAGGTGTAGTGAGGTAAGTGACTTGCCTACTGGCACATAGCTACTAAGCTAATGAAGTGGGATCCGAATCAGGCTCTCCTGATTCCAAGGGCAGGACTTTCCCCATTCCATCCTACAGCTAACACACAAATTGCTCCTTATTTTTTGAAAAAGGGGGTGGTGGCAAGGGACAATAGTTTTCAGTCAACCTCACAGCTGTATGGGGCAGGGGTCCAGTCCAGAAAGGAGGCCCGCTGTTTCCTTGTTGATGCCAGGGCACAGTAGGGAAGGTCACAGGATTTAGAGCTTGCATCTTGGCAATCAACCATTCCAAACCTTTCCTTTTACAGACAGGGAAACTTAGCTGAGAGTGAAGGGTGAAAAGGTGATCCAAGGTCCAAACCCGTTCTACAGGCTGCCACCCCTGCCCTGCTGCTGTGGGTGACTGTGGCCAAGGCGTGCTGTGTACATTTGGTTCAATGGAAGGTATGCCCCCGAGGAAGGGTCCAGAGCCAGGCTGCTTCCCACCCAGCGGTCTTCAGACTCCACATCCCTGTGCACTGTCCACTCTTCCACACTGCTCAAACCTAGGTTCAGATCCCAGGGCTAACGCTAACTGGCCACGTGACCTGTGTTTAGCTGGTTTTCAGCTGTGTCTGACTCTGCGACTCCTTTTGGGGTTTTCCTGACAAAGATACTAGAGCAGTTTGTCACTTCCTTCTCCAACTCATTTTACAGATGAGGAAACTGAGGCAAATAAGAGTTAAATGACTTGCGCAGGGTCACACAGCTAGGAAGTGCTTGAGGCTGGATTTAACTCCCGTGTTCCTGTTTCCAAGCCCAGAGCTCTACGCACTGTGCTGCCCTGCTGCCCCATGACCTGTGTAATTCCGCCTCTGGGACGTGTGACTGAGATTGGGCCAAATCATCACAGCCCCAGATCTGTGACTCTCCCAAGCATATGTGCATCACCTAAGTTTTGGGTGCAAGGAACTACTGGGGGTGGGTGAAGATAACAGAAGACAAGCTACTTGCCCACAAGCAGCTTACAGTCTAGTTGGGGAAACAAAAAGGTCCCAAAGAATTCACAACAGCAAGCAGACGGCCAGAGGCCTGTCTGAAGGCACCATTGCCCTGGGGGAGCCCTGTTGCCCGAATTGAGGCTGCCAAGGTTGGAGCCAGGTTCATCTAGAATTCAAGGCCCCCACACAACAGCTCCTCCCCCCACAGCTGCCCCCTCCTGCCCTCAGCCTCTCAGAATCCCTGGCCCACCCAAAGCCCCTTCCCCACACCTTTGTTTGCTGGTGCCTGTCTACCTACCTTGTATTTATGCTGGGCCTAAGCACCATCTCTGTGTGGTAATCCACGCAGTAATCCTCTACCCCAAACCCCCAGGGGAATGAATGCTCATCGAGAGTTGAGATTTTGTCTTCGCACCCCCAGCCCGAGCACAGCACTGGGCACATAGTAGGTTCTTGATAAATGCTTGTTGACTGATGTCCATGATGGCAGCATGGCTCAACCTCAAGGATGGACAGGAAGTGGACAGACACCGTTAAAAGGCAGCCATCTGGGTGTTTGTTCTGAGTCTGGGCTTCATGGCTCACTTGCCTAGCTGGCACGTCACACAAGGGCAGAGGGCAGTGGAAAGGCTGGGGCCAAGCCCGTGGGCGCTTTCAATGCCAGCGTGAAATTTATTGGGAGCTTTTCAGAGATTTGTGGTGCCAATTTGCCTGTCTCTGGGAAGGGGGGGAGGGGCTTTGTTCCAGTATCCATGTGAAAGATAGAGTGGGAACAGCGAATTCAAGGCTCTTGCCAAGTAAAAGGTAACGTATTGGTCACAGGGGGTCCAACACTGCCTCTGAAACTAGATCACCTGGGTTTCAATCCTGCCTAGACTACGGGGCAGCAGAGTACACAGAGCACTGGACCTGGAGTCGGGAAGACTCAAGTTCAAATCCAGCTTCAGGCACTGTCTAGGCAAGGACCCTGGGCACGTCACAAACTCCGCCTGTTACTTTGCCTGTAAAATGGGGATAACAAAAAGCACTTCCCTCCCAGAGAGCTGTGAGGAGCCAACGAGATAATGGTAAAGTGCCACGTGCCTGGCGCATAGAAGTACTATATGAATGCGAGCTATTATTTT